TGAGGATCCCCTGGCGTCCACAGCTGTCCTGTCGCTGAGCGCCAGGTGGCGCAGGTCGGCCCAGTTGACGCCCACCCCGTACTGCTGCAGCAGCGGGTGGGCGTGGGCCGCGGCGGCGTGCACCATGCACAGCGCCACCCACACCACCAGCACGCCGCGGCTCCGCAGGTCTGCCTGCATGCGGGGCTCGCTGGCCCCCCCGCCTTGGAACGTGTGCAGCGCTGCGCATGGGCAGGGAGGGGCGTGGGGAAGTGTCGAGACTGGCAGCCAACTATGGCAGGCAGCTGCTGGTCCGACCGTCGAGGCTGCGCAGCTGAGCAAGCACTCCAGAACAGCAGGGCGGATTGGCTGGAGTTCACAGAATGAAACATTCCCCACTCCGAGGCAGGACCCCAGCAGCCAGGCACTCACCCAGCAGGTAGGCATTCACCACTTCCACCAGGGAATCCACCTCTGTTTCTGGCAGGCGCGCCTTCGCGCCAAAGCCTTGCACGGCGCGCTGGAACATCTCTCTTTCCACCATGCACAGCGCGTGCTGTGCCACCACGCTGCCCTGGTGCTGCCGGGCGGCGGACAGTGCTGCCAGCAGGTCGGCAAACGGCAGCTGGCCTGGCGGGCGCTCTGGCGGCAGCAGCAGCGAGCCCAGGTTGCGGCCCTCCCGCTCAATGGCCTCCTCGAGGCCGCCTCCCTCAGCCTGAGGGCCGGCGAGCGGCGGCAAAACGCCGCGCGGGAGGCGGTAGCTGCCGGGGCCGCAGGGCGAGTCTGGCCCAGCCAGGGCTGGCAGCTGCGCATCGCTGGCGGCCGCCTGCACCCGCGCTGCTCTGGCGCCCTCCAGCGCCAGCCGGGCCGCTCTGCAGGCTGCCTCAACGTGTGCCACGTCGTGCGCCTGCACAGCCAGCTCGCCGCCCACGCTGGCCACAGCCGCCGTCATCTGCATGGCAGCATTCAGCGCCGTCGAGGTGGCTGAGCCATTCACCACCAGCGGCACCTGACGCTGCAGCAGCCACAGATGCAGGTGGGCCTCTGCCAGCTGGAAGAGGTCGGGGGAGGGGCTGCGGCAGGTGCTGACGTGGCCCAGTGTTGCCTGCACGTGCACATTAAAGAGGGGCGGCGAGGCTGGTCAGACAGGGGCAGACACTCGGAGGTGTGGTAACAAAAGCTTGGTGGTGAAGGGAAGCAGGCCCAAGCAAGTTCCAGCGAGGAACCCGTCAGCAGGTGCTCGCTAGTCGTCCAAGTACAGCAGGCTCAGCAGGCCTAGCAGGCCCAGCAGGCCCTGGCAACGCACCCTGATGGCCTCGCGGACCAGCGGCCATGCGGTGTCTCGCGGCGCGCCGCCTGTGTGCAGCCCGACGTCGGTGAAACCGCCCTGCGGCTGCCGCGCCGGCACCTCGTCCTCTTCATCTGCCTCCAGCTGGTCCAGCGCTTGCAGCACCAGGGCGCGCACCATCGCCGGCGTCTTCTGGTGGCCCTGCCCGCCCCCAGCCGCAGAGCGTTCGTCGCCCTTGCGCTGCGCCGCCTTGGCCAGGGCGCCGCTCAGGGCCGCCCGGAAGCCTGCCATCTGCTCGGCCGACAGCACGCCGCAGTGCACCACCGTGCCCTCGCCGCTCTCTGCCGTGTGGCTGATGGCACCGTCGTCGGTGCTGCGAGATGGGGGCCAGGGGATGGCAGCAGAGATGGGAATGGAGAGGCAGGAGGGCAGAGGGGCCGGCAGCTGCTGTTAGGGGAGGCAGGCAAAGCAGGCGCGGCGCGTGCATGGAGCAACGGGTCCGCGCCGCCAACAAACGCACCTGTGTGTGATAAAGCGCCAGCGATCCAAGCCCACCAGGATCAGCGCAAGGCTGCCTGGTACTGGCTGGGTGTCTGGCATGCCGGGAGGTGCCATCAGCAGGCAGCAGCCGTACTCCGGGAAGAAAGAAGCGCTCTGGGCGCAGGCCACGAAGCGCACCGCCTCTGCCAGGCAGCTAAGGTCGGCGGCAGGCAGCCGCGGCCAGAGCGGCGGTTGAACTGTGTCCCTGCCGGCAGCTTCCTGCGCCTGGCCCTCGCCCAAACGCCGCTTGCGTCCGGCCGCCGTTCTGTGCTCACCCTCCTGCAAGCAGACCGGTGGGTCGAGAACAGTGCTCTTGGGTACGGTGGTGCAGGGCAGTAACTACAGCAGGCATGGCCCTCAAGGCATGCACTGCAGGCATCTGCGTGCCGGTAGGGACTGGGCGGGTCGTCCCTTTGCGCTCACTGACACTCCGCTCGACTGACACCAATCTCCGTCTGCCTGACTGCACCGAGGCACTGGCGGCGCTCATCACGCGTGGATGGCCTGCCCAGCTCACCAGATGCGCCACAAAGCGGAGCCACATGTCGAGGAAGCCGGCGACGGCGACGGCCGTCTGCAGGGAGCTGGCAGGGCGGTGCAGGAAGGCATACAGGCTGCTCCCTTGCACACAGCCTGCACTGCGCCCACTGGCAGCACCCATTTGATGACTGCACGCATGCTCACCTGCAGAAGAGCAAGCGGGGCAAGGTGGCATCAAGGCCCTCGCCCAAGCTCACCCTGGAGCAGCTGCAGGCGGAGCAGGCAGCATACGAGTCGCAGCGCCAGCAGCAGCAGCAGCCGCCCACGGCGGCAGCGGCGAGCTCTGAGGAGGAGGAGGAGGGGGAGGAGCTGTACTATGGAGGCAGCAGCAGCGGCGGCGCCGGCGGCGCGGGCGGGCGTGCAGGCGGTACGGTGCAGTACGGCAGCAGCGACGCTGTGCCCGAGGTGGTCACGAACCGCATGCTGCGCCGCGTCATCCTCTTCATGGGCACGCCCGTGTTTGGAGGCATCCTGCTCTTCCCCTTCTTCTACTGGCTCAAGGTGAGAGGCGGGGTGGAGAAGCTTGGGGAGGGGAGCGGCAGTCGGCTCAGCCGCTGGCTGATGCAGGGCTGCCCGCGGGTGCGGGCTATAGCCTATAGCCCTGAGGGCCAGCAGGCTGGCAGGCTGCTGCCAGTTGTGGCGGCGGCTGGAGGGCAGCCGGGTGGCCTGCTGCATTGCGCTGATCGCTGCATGGACCTGCGCCCCCGAGACACCATCCTTGCCTGCTGCCCTGCCACGGGCCCGCAGATCAAGCAGGGCGTGGACCTGCCCAACTGGGTGGCCTACCTCTCCTCCTCCCTCACCTTTGGCGGCGGCCTGCTAGGCATCAGCTACGGCATCATGTCGGGTGCGTGGCGCGCCGCAGATGTGCCTGCCCGGCTGCTCACGCCGGCTGCGTTGCGCAGCTGGTGGTGCACGGCACGCATGCCAGCAGGACCTCGGCGCTGCCGCCTCTGCCGCCTCTGCTGCTGTCCTGCTGCTGTCCTGCTGCTCCCGTTGTCGCTGCCAGCATGCCAGCCAGCATGTGCGCTGCAGCATGCGCGCTCACCCTGCCGCCCCGCCCCGCTCCCCGCGCCTTGCCTGGTGCAGCCAGCTGGGACCCGCGCCGCGAGGGCAGCCTGTTGGGCTGGACCGAGTTCCAAGCCAACGTGCCGCTGCTGCTGGACCGCTTCAAGCGCGGCAGCGACTGAGACCGCAGCTGGTGGCTGTGTGAGATGATTTCTTAATCAGTTGAAGGTGTAACGCGCTTGGAATGCCACTTGCCCTGCAGTTGCCTCCACGGTTGTTCAAAGACCAGCGGCAGCGGGTCTGAAGCTTGTTTAATCAACAACAATGCAAGGAACAACTAATAGAATGGCAGAAGCAGCGCTTGAACGTGTGTAGCGTTTTGGAATCTGATCAGGCAGTGAAAATACGAGAGTGGCGTCATCAGGTTGCCGCGGGCACTGGCATCTCCGCTCAGGCGCTGCCTCGGTCGGCATCGCACGCCAGCTCCAGCTGGCTGCGGGAGAAGAGCACCTGCTTGCCGCGCATCGCCACCAGCGCCTCGGCCGCAGCGCCGCGCCCCGCCACGAGCTGTCGCAACAGCGCCAGCTGGCGCGGCGCCTGCTGCCCCTGCTTGGGCTCCTCTGGCGCGTACGTCGCCTCGCCATCCCACAGCTGCAGGCTGACCAGCTGCGGCAGGAAGGCGCCTGCACCTAGCTCCGCCGCCATCTGCCCCACCGCCTGCCACGCACCGCCGCCCGCAGCCGCAGCAGCCAGCCGCAACGGCGGCGCTGCACATGCATGGCACAGGCTGACCAGCAGCGGAGCTGCCTTGCCTGCTGGCTGGCTGCCGCCTCCACCGCTGCCAGCCCACATCGCCTCCAGCAGCCCATTGGCCTCCCGCTCTGACAGCAGCAGCACGGACCTGCCAGCCTCGCTGATCTGGCCGCTGCGGCTGCCAGTGGCGCGCCTGCCCTTGCAAGGGCAGGCGCATATATATAGCATATATATAGGTGGCCAATTGGCCACCACCTCAGGCTCCTCCGCATGCGCAGGAAGCAGGAGCAAGTGGCCCACGGGGCGCAGGTACTCGTTGAGCGCCTCGCCCTCGGGCTGCTGCACCGCGATGGCAAAGTTGAGGGTGCAGAAGACGTGCTGGCTCCAGGGCACGCAGCCCACAGCCGCCGGCTGCACGTGCGCTGCCAGCTGTCCCAGCGACAGCAAGCGCAGCCCAGCGGCATGCTTCAGGCTAGCCAGGGAGGTGGCGCCCAGGGCCCTGCCATAGTCCCAGTCTGTCTCGTTCATAGCCGCGATTCGTGGAATCTGTCGCTCCACCTCCTCCTCCTCCTCTTCCTCCCTCTCCAGCTCCCTCTCACACTCCTCGCCAAGCTGACCTTGCGCCACCACCTCGTGCCCCTCGCCGTGCTGCCTGCTGGCTTCCACCACCAGCTGCATCAGCTTCCGCATGTCTGCCGCCAGGCCTGGCCGCCGCCCCTTCTGCCGCCGCCCGCACTGCTCCGCCACCACCTCTGGCACGGCGCACCAGTCGCGCGCGCCGCCGTACATGGCTGCCAGCTCCAGCACCTCTGGCTGCAGGGCGTGTTCTGGGGCTCCGCGGGTGGCGGCAAACAGCAGACCCTGGTGCGCCCACTCCAGCACGCCGCGCTGGGTTGCCGCCACCGTGTTGGCCATAGCCCATTGCAGCACGTGGAGGGAGGTGATGGCGGCATCGTCCGCCATCCCAGCCACCCGCGCTATCTTGGCTGTGACGTCGGCAGTGCCGACCGTCTGCAGCGTCTGGCCCTTGCCTGAATGCAGCGGGGCAGCAGGGGGCAGTGCATGGGACGTCTGACGAGAAACAGAGAGGCTGGTAGAAAGCTGGACGCCGCCGTGGACACTGTCAGTGGGAAGCACATGGGAAGCACACCAGTTGTTGACGCTCCGTGCTGCTGCCTGCACGCAGCCTCCTGTGGTCTGCAGGCACCCTCCTGCCTCCCTCCCCTCCTCCGCAACTCACCCAGCTTGCGCAGCCGGCCAGCCGACTGCATGAGCTTGTCCTTGGTGGTAGCTGGGCCCAGGGTGAGCAGGCCCACGGCGCCGTGGCGCAGCTGCAGGTCTGCGCCCCGGCACCTCGCCTCGTCAAACAGCGTCAGGCACTGGGCCTCGCGGATGGGGGAGCTGGCCCGGGGCTGGCGGCGGCCCTGGGGGTCGGCCACCACCCACTCCCGCTCCGCCTCATCGAAGTAGCACACCCCGGAGAAGCGGCGGCGGTCCAGCAGCTGCAGCAGGTAGTCGGCGGCAGCCCTGCAGAGCAGGGGTGGGGGGGTAGCGCGGGTGGAGGTGGTGGGGGCAAGTTGGGCTCGCGCAGCTGGGCCCCTGCCAGCAGCAATCCCGTGTTCGTCTTGCGCAGGGCAGAGGCAGGCAGCCAGGAGATCATCGTTCACCTCCCCGCACACCCACGCCCACCGCGGAGGCAGCCCAACCCACCCACCTGTTGCTGGTGCCGGCCAGGAGCGCGCCACAGTCCACGAGAGCATCCATCCCCTCCCGCACCGCAAGCTGCAGCAGCGCCTCCCACACCGCCTGGCCCTGCATCAACCGGGACGGCGGGCAGGCGGGTCAGCAACTCGCCGGGAGGCCCCAGGCGCTCGGTGCCCTCCTGGTGTGCACCTGCATGCGCTGTTGCAGCATCTTGGGTGCCAAATGTACTGCCTGTTTTGTACTGCCAGGTGGTGTTCCTGCAGTTGCAGCTGCCCACCTGCTGCGTTGCAATTGTGTGGTACCGCGGGTTGGCCAGCAGCACCGCCAGCATCTTGCCGTTGGTGGCCCTCAGGCGGGGCTCCACGTCCAGGTGCTGCCGCACTTGCAGCGGCAGCAGGCGGTGGTTGTCGTTGGTGCCTGCGGCGGCCGTGGCGGGTGGGGCAGCAGCGACAGCGGGATGGAATGCGCGGGGGATGGCGTGGCAGTGGTGGCTGTGGCGATTGTGGTGCGCGCTGGTGTTGCTGTGCACCGACTGTTTTAAGGTGCCATCGTGAGGCAACTCTGGTGCGTCAAGCCCCCTCCTCTCTTCCAGCTTGCCTGAGAAGCCCACCACCCGGCCGCACGGGTTGTCTGCCAGGTTCCAAGAGGTGGCCACCAGGCGGTGAGGGAACTGGCGCGTCTCTTCCGGGAACACGCAGACACTGCGGTTGTGCAGCACAGGCAGGGGAAGGCAGCAGGAGGGCGACAGGCGCTCGGACGCCCCTGGTGGTGCCAGCTGCCAGTGCAGTGCAGTGCACCCGCGATGCCCTCTGCACACCACCTTCTGTGCAACCCTGGTGTTCCCCAAGCGGTTGACCGTACAGCCCCCACACGAAGCATCACATCAGCCACTGTCCCGCCGCCTGCATGCCCGCTTGCTCACTTGAGCCAGAAGTCGACTGCCGCCATGTTGTGGCTGAACAGCCTGTGCAGCAGGTCCACCTGCGAGGCGTTGGTGGTGTCCAGCTTGCTGGCCTGGTCCACGGTCGCCAGCTCCTCTGCAGCAGCGCCGTGGCACAGCAGGAGGGGAGGAGGGAGGGCAAATGTGGAGTGGTGGACAGAGGAGGCGCCCACGACAGGAGGCCAGCGGCATCGGCTCCCTGGCCCACTGCGCTTGGCTGGCCCTGCCTGCGGCGACGTCCGGGGCCGCCAGCGCCAGCCACTCTGCAAAGTGCGCCTGCTGCGCATTCTGGCCCAGGCCTAGCAGCTTGAGCAGGGCGTCCAGTAGCTCCTTGCGGGACAGGCCGCGCTGGTAGTAGGCCAGGGTGGTGAGGGTGAGGGCGGAGTCGGGCTGGGCGTACTCAGAGCGCTCGGAGGGCAGGTGGGCGGCGCGGTACGGTACCGCCAGGCGCTTGCGGGCGCCGACGTTACTGCAGGGGAGAGGGAGCGTCGAGGGAACGGCGTAAGGGTGGGGTGCGGCTGGCGAGCAAGGGATAGGGGCAAGCAGGCAGGCTTATATTCAGCAGTGAAACAGGGGGCCGCATGCGTGCCGCCTTTGTGGCATCAGGCAGGATGCTGAGGACCACCACATGCTCCCTCCACTCACTCATTGACGCCATAGTCCACCAGGTGCCTCATCTGCAGGCAGTGCTGCAGCACCCCGCAGGCCAGCAGGCCGCGCAGCGCCAGCACGTCGGCGCGCTCTCCCTCGCTCAGGCCCCCCGGCAAGGCGTCCAAGGCGGCGCTGGCGTCCAGCGCTGTGTCGGTGATGCAGCACAGCAGCAGCTCCTGCGGCAGTGGGGGCGCAGCAGGGCACGGCAGGGCTGCATTGCTGGAGCGCTGGGCGCAGCAGTGTATGGATGGGTGGTGCCTGCTCAACCCCCACACTCCCACCTGCTGGGGGTGGCCTGCCATCCAGCGCATCGCATGCGGCGGCTGGGCCAGCACCGCCTCCGCCAGCAGCTGGCGCAGCTCCGGGGCGGCCCTCTCCAGTGCTTCGCCCGGCAGCAGGCGCACGCCGCGGTAGGCTCCCGGCTTGCCGCCTGGCCCACTGGGCACGGCCACGCCCTGCCGAGCCAGCAGGTTGCCGATGGGCCCGCTGCCGTGCGCCTCCCGAGACAGGACATGCAGCAGCGCCTGGCAGGCGCGGGCGCGGGCCTGCTGGGAAGGCAGCTCAGTGTGGGCGCCAACTGCGTAGATGAGCTGGTAGCTGCGCAGAAGGTACATGCAGATCGAATGGAAGGGGAGGGGAAGGTGCCGATGGGGTCAGCCGTGCGACACTACAGTGTCAGGTGCCAGGGCTGCCGGCACCGGCACCAGCAGAGCAGCAGGGCCGAGACGCGGCGGGGAGCAGATGTGTGCATGCCCGCTTACATGTGGCGTAGCAGCTCGTCGCTCTCATCCAGGAGATCCACGTAAGGCATTGCTGCAAGCTCGTCCAGGCCGCGGCACAGCTCCAGCTGCCCCTTCTGCCACAGCTCCTGCCACTTGAGCAGCAGCGACAGGCGGCGCTCGGGAGTGGTCAGCAGCACGCCGCCCGCCTGCAGCGTCAGGTGGAAGGGCGACGATGGGTTGGGGGGGGGGGGGGGGGG